ATCTTTATTAAGCAAGTGCAAACCAAATGAAGCATACAAACAGCTACAAACTACAAACAGCGTGGGCATGGGGCAATTGCAATAAAAATAACAAGACAGAAAAAAACTGCCCAAATCCAATCAATATAAATGAATGTGCATGATAATAAAAGCGAACCATAAAAGTTTGTTTTTTAGCAACAAACTGAAACTAGTTAGATTGGATAGGAGGGCTCTCTGTAAATAAAACTTTCTTAATAAAAATAAACATTCAGCAAACCTTTGGACATGTCTCTAGTGGGGGTGGGCAGAACCAAAATAGTGAAAACAGGGGGGTGTTCTCTGAAGACAGGCTGCTACCTGTGAAACAGGGCTGCTCTGAACACCCCCGTTAGAACTTGGTACTGTCCTCCTGGTGTATTTAACCAGACGGGATGAAACTAACAAGCAGAGTGGACGACCAATCAGAACTCTGGTCGACCCAGAACGTATAGACCAGTAAGCAGACTAGGACTCTACAGTCCCAGCCTGGTGGTCTCCTTTCATGTGACTGCTGTATCTGCATCATAAGCTGTGTAAAGGCGTGTGCTGTGTGTGTGTGTGTGTGTGTGTGTGTGTGTGTGTGTGTGAGACAGGTCACCTGTCTCCATGGGGGCGGGCTCCTCCTCCTCTTTGGTCCCTGAGGTGGTGCTGGCGGTGCTGTTTGCAGCCGTCTGCTCTGCGGCTTTGCTGCCTTCGGCCTCCTCTTCCTCCTCCTCCCCCCCCCCCCCCCCCCCCCCCCCCCTCCTGCTGCTGCTGCTGCTGCTGGGCCGCCGCCTTCTCCGCCTGCTCGGCCGCCTCGCGCTCCCTCTCCTCCGCCCGCCGCCTGGCCGCCTCCTCAGCCGCCGCCATCTCGGCCGCGAGCTTCTCCATGTCCACCTCCACCTTCTGGCTGCAAAGCTGGAGACAGGGAGGGGGGGTAGGGTTAGGGTTAGGGCCTGGCAGAAGCCGCCCCCCCCCCGTGGGCCGAGCCGGCCTTTACCCGCTTCAGCTCGGTGTTGAAGGAGTCCGTGGTCTCCAGGAAGCGCCTCTTCTTCTCCTGGTGGCGATCCTCGATCTGCAGCAGCTCTGCCTCCAGCTTCCTCTGAAAGCAGCCAGAGCGGGGGGGTGGTCACTACACAGCCCGGCTGAGGCGGTGTCCCCCCCTGCCCGACTGACTGACTGACCTGGTGCACCATGAGGGACTGGACCTGCCTCTTCAGGACCTGCATGCGGGCCGTGGTGACCACCGAGCGCACGTCGGGCACCACGATCTCGCTGAGGATGTCGCTGATGAGCCGGTGGTTCCTCTGGAAGCGAGCGGCGGCCGTGTGCTTCACCGAGAAGCCGTCGTCGTAGTCTGGGGGGGAGAGGAGAGTGGGGCGGGTGTCATTTGGCGCCCGGCGGGAGCGCCCGGTGGGCTCTGCGACGCGGGCTCACCGTCGGGGTCTTCGGCGGGCTGGATGCTCATGTACGGCTCCCCTTTGTCCAGCCGGCTCTGCCTCTGCCGGCTCTCCTCCTCCATGGCCGCCTCGGCCCGGTTCTTGGCGTTGACGTAAGCCAGGTAGGCCGGCGAGTTGTGGTAGGCCTTCAGAGAGTCGTTGTACTCAATCTGCAGAAAGAGGAAGAGCCTGAGTGAGTGTGCATCGAGCACCTGCTGATGTCAGGGCCCATACACAGAAAACGAAAAGAGATGGGCTTTTTTCCTGAGATGACTCTTTCGGTTTCTTATTTCTGGGCCCTGGATGGCGACTGTGGATCGTACATGAGGGCACTTTGGGTAGCCTGAAATGTCACTGAGCACACCTCTCATTAATGATCATCTCTGTAAGATGCTTTACTTGGTGGTTTTGAACCTAAACTTTGAGATCTTTTATGTAGTAGATTCTGGCTGAACGGTTCAGATATGGTCTAAACTGACAGTTTAGGTGCCAATTTAGATCAAATTAAACAATAAAAAGATAAAATGACGACAGAGCATTGAAAACGTGAACCAGAACCCATGCCTGCAGCGTCAGATCATGGATCCCTTCTCATCAGAGTGGAAATGGAGTACGTGGCAGCTCACCTTTTCGGCCTCGTACTCGTTCAGGTAGTCCTGCTTCTCCTCGTCGGTCAGGTCCCTCCACATCCCTCCGATGATCTTCCCGATCTCCCACAGCTTCAGGTCCGGATTGGACGCCTTCACTTGGTCCCAGACCTTCCGGGCGCGATGCAAGAAGCAGAGAGACGTGTACAAAAGGCAAATCACCCGACACACACGGCCACACAGGTCAGGTCGTGGAATTGCTACAAACAGGACCACTACGAGGGAAGGAGGGAATTGGAGGAGTGCAGAGGAAGGACGGTCTCCCGGGTGATGCCTCCGACTTGTTAGGGCTCTAAATAGGACATGGATGCTAACTATGCTAACTGTCCCAAAATTAATCTTAAGACAGGATCTACAGTTTCATGTCGGCACGAGATTTGAAGGTAGTTTTTGTTTTTGAGGGCATTTGTTTAGAAAGAATAAATCAGAAGAAAAATGAAGCTGGAGACATTGGCGTTTGTCTTTGGCAGCCGCTGGGAGCCAGCGGCGCCCAGAGAGTGGAGAGGCTCCACCTGCGGGTGGAGGCGGTGCTGGGGCGTCGCCGCCCGGCCGTCTGCTACCCTCAAACCCCTGCAGACTTTTCAGGGGAGGGGGGAGGACAAGCAGTAAAAGCAGACACCGTGGATGGGTGTCTTACCTTCCTGCTTACCTTCCGGCTGTACCGCATGTACGGCATCAGGGGCTTGTCTGGAGGCTTGGGAGGCTTTGGGACGGTGATGCCTGAAGAGTTCTGTGGAGAGAAGAGGGGGGGATAAAAGGGAGGGGGGGGGGGGGTGATGACGATGATTAAGGAGCAGGAAGGTAAATGGTGGGGGGCAAAGACAGGGGTGAGGATGGAGAGAGAGAGAGGAGAGAAAAACAGAGCCCATCAGAACAGCTGATCATCATCAGGTGGAGGGACACAGACGTGAAGGGGGGAGGCAAATGTTGTTTAAAAGGTCTAAAAGCTGCATGTTTTAGGCCTCCAGGCCCAGAGCTGCCCCCCGCTGGGGTAGGGGCTCAAATCATGGCCGCTTCATCCCACGTTTGGAGGGATCAGACTCAGTGTTACATAATCAGATCTGGGAAAACACACTCAGGTGGCTCTTTCCTGTAGGTCCCAATTTATTGTTACATGGTTCAGGACTCATGCAGATGGATGCGGGATGCATGCGCCGACATCTAAGCACGCCTGCGTGACGTCTGCATGCCTGCCCAGTGCTGGATCTCAAGTCTCTGTTTTCTGAGAGATCAATCTGAAGGATGGAACTTCAATTTGAACCTCGGCTGAGGCAGAACTATTTTTTTTTTCATTTTGGTTTTCAAAAAGAATGAGGCATCAAAAAGCCACAAGTTGAGCCGAGCAGTGAGATGGGAAAGAGCCGGAAAAGATGGCTGCCTCGTCTTTAACTGGACAAAACCCTCATTGTGATGAAGCCCCACCCGCTTAGAACCTCTAATCTACAGCCTCTAATCTACAGCCTATTTCACGCCATATAAATATATATCGCTCCACTTCTGACTATTCTTAATTCTTTCTAAATCCCTGGATCAATTCATTACCCTGCTGGAGCCTCCGGAGCTCCCTCCCAGCCGGAGGTTGTTGTAGGCCAGATGGCTGTAAGGGTTGTAGCCCACAAACCCTGGGGTGGAAGGCATTTGCTGATGGAAGACAAATGAGACAAAACACGAATGAGAAATGGCTCACAAACAAGAGGAGGAAGAAGGGATCAACAGAAATAAGTGAGAGGGAAAGGAAATCGTGAAAATTTAAGGGTTTTTTGTCTTTTCTTTAATAGGATGGCCTCTTTATGCATGGCAAAAAAAGGCAAGAGGCCCAGCAGGCTAGCGTTCAGAGTGAATGGACAGCAGCAGCAGAAGGCAAAAACGCAGGCGCTTTCATTTTTAAAGGGGTTAACTCAGATGTCTACCTTCTTTCCAGTGAACAATGAGGCAAACTGACTTAGTTTAAGAGCTTAAATGGCAGCACGGAAGGATAAAGCAGGAGTGAAAGCGATGATGGAGAGCAGGGCAAGATTTGAGGCAACCTTGGTGTTTTCAGACAGATTAAAAGAAAGGAAGAAAGACAGGAATAGAAGGCTGAGGCAGAAACAGCTGTCGGCCCCTAAATGACTGCAAAGGCTGGAGACTTACCGTTGTCGGGGCAGGGGGAGGAGGGGGGGCATAGGATGGGCGTTCTGCGGTGGAGAGAAAAGTAAGCTGCCGTTAGTCCCTGGTTAGGTCCACCTTTCCGTTACAGACGTGGTTTTAGACCACCCGTTTTGGCTACACCTCCTCATGATGGACAGAATCCCTTTACCTCTTTAGGGATCCAGTTAAAGTCATGTGTTTTTGTATGCTAACCTGACCAGACTGGATTATGACCATCTTGAAAGTGGGACATCATTATAACCACCCTTTTTTTCCACCAAAGCCCAGGTCTTCCTCAACAAACGTTAGTTTTTTTAATGTCAGAAGTCATCAGTAATAATTCTCCACTCTACTGGAAGAATATACCAGAGCTTATAATTTTGCATAGTTTAGCCTTTTCAACCCCATTTCCCTTCATTAGGGGATAGCGTCTTAGCAGCCAGCCGTGAAAAATCCAGTCAAATCAAGTCAGATGTGCAAGTAGAAGTCCCTTTTTGAAAGAAACAATACACTTTGTTTTGCTTCCTCCTTCACATAATGATCAGACACACAAAGACTTTGTGCTAATAGCTCCTGGGGGTAAAACTCTTGGTGTAAAAATGGTACTTAATGTTGATCAACATTTGATCTCTGTGTCCATGTAAGAGGCTGCTGGTAAACTAAATTAATGGTTATATCGGCTTCAAACATAAACAAAACAATTGCAAACATCCCTGTCAAGTAGCTGAATGACTAAATAATACGACTCCAAGAAGAAAGAAACTGAGCAAAGGCAGCCAAAGTGTAAAGCAAAGCTTTAACTGGGTCAGTAACGTTTTTTTATTTTTTGGGTGCTATTAACTTTCACAACTAACAGGAATGAATCGCTGATGCCGCCGGTACCGTTACTTACTCGACATGGCTGCAGGTCTCTGGGAAGATGCGGATCAGACTCCTAGCATACCTGGAAAGTTGAATGTGGAAGAAGGGCAGAAAATAAAGCCGGTCATTTCTCTAGGAACAATCACGCTGTACATTTTGAGTTGTGAAATGCAGCAGAGACGAGCAGAAAGGGCGAAACGGTTGACAAACTCAACAATGACAACAGTAGCCCGCTAAGCTAAACAGGCTAGTTGGAGTTAGCCTCACGGGCCTGACCTGCCAGCTAAGCTAGCTAACACCGTAGATTTGTTAATCTATCAACATAATTTAACAGACAAATAAAAAATTAAAAAACACTTCAATGTCAATTACATAGTCTAACACATCTACTTAATAATGCCAGTTCTTTACCTCTATAGACACTTGAATAAATCTATTTAGCCTAACGGACAGAAAGCCTCAAACAGCCATTAAAGACATGGACTCATTCAATAGGCTATGCTAAATCAGAAAAATAGTAAACATTTACTTCAGTTCAAATCTATCACGCATCACAGTTACAAGGTTGAAAATAAGTAAGACGTTTCACTTTTTGGAATAAAAAGGCTCGTATCTACTCACTCTCTTGCCCTTTGTTCCACCAGGAGGGCCGCTTGTTCCGCCTGTCTCGCACAGACCGGAAGTACTTTTTGACTCTGCGGAAGCAGGATTTTCGGAATAAAACTGTAACATGGGTGCTGCTAAATGGATCAGGAAAAAAATAAAAATAGTTAAAATTAGTTGTTATTGTTTTAAAATGGCACGTTTATCCGTCCCAAAACATCAGTAAAGTGTGCTTTAAACCCTTGATGCCTGAGACTTTCATTGGTTTTGAGCCACATATAAAATCAAAGTAGTAATTCTGTGCCACCTTTGACTTAACATCTTTAAAATATCCATATGTAAATATGAATAGCTTCTTTGTGTTATTGGGATACTTACATAAAAAAACACCTAATTTTTTTTTTACAGCAGCTGTCAGGATTCTGACACATTTTCTAATACACTGGATGAGAAAACATGCATTGTTTTTATTTGTAAAATATCTGATTTGGTAGTTCATTAAGATATATAGAATTATACCACACGGATGAGCGAATAAATAGTGATTCCATATATATGTACGGGTGTTGGAGAATCCCCAGCTACCATCAGGTAGGCAGGCATGGTACACCCTGGATATGTTACCAGTCCATCACAAAGAAAAATGACAAACAGCCATACACAAACCTTAGTTTGAGATACATTTAATTTAATCTTCATTATCACACTTTTATTTATCTTTAGTTTCTATCTATATATACTTTTGAATGTCTGATTTCTGGTTTTCGTAATTCTACGTAGCTCGTATGCATGTTCTGCATCACAACCATGTAAAAATCCTTGTATTAACACTTGGTCAATAAAATGAATCCTGATTCAGATTTTGCTGACAGTGCTCACTACTTTTGCAATTATTGCACATATTACAATATTTAATCAGATCCAGATTAGGATTTATTTGTTGTAGTTGCATTAATGTAGAGTTAACAATACAAAAAATTCTTTGGGTGAGAGGAACAAACAAAATTGCCATTATTACATGATACATTCGGGATGCTGTGACCCAAATAGCTTGCTAAATTCACCATACTTGTGGTTTATGTTTCTACTTTTTATGTGGCTGGTAAAGCTTTTTTTTATGGAAGTAACATGTTTATAATTCATGGTAACTCGATATTTGTAATTTTTTAATTTGTGCATGGAAATGGGTGAATATGACTTGCAGCATCAATATTTTGTGGTTGAGTATACTACAGTTAGTGTGACACAGTACATTTTATTCAAGAAGGAAACAGGAAGATAAAATTGTCTCAGATTGTTTCACACTTAACATGTGTTTGGAACAAACAGACAACTTTTTACAAATTATTTCAAGTGCTAAATGTCCAAATTCCAGGACATGTTTTCACTTAAATACAAACATACTTAATTTCAATTTTGCATATGAAGATGTTGGTCTGTAAGAACTAATTTCAGTTTATAGAATTTACTTATAATACTTATAAAACTTATAACAATAAGTTTGTAGTGTGTTGTATTCTAGCAATGAGAGGAAATGGAATGTTTGTGAGAAAACATCTTTTGGTTTAATTCCAAATGCTGTTTTTATTACAAGTGAAAAACAGAAAGTGGGGTCAAAATCAGTAACAAACGGAGTGGTTTGAAAACTTATAAAAACTTCCCAGCTGTGTGGGAGCTCAATGAAACATGCACCGGTGGCATTTCACTCTCCTCACACTTTGATTCACTTCCTGGACACCTATGAAACAAAAAAGAAAGAAAGAAAACTGTGTAGCTCCAGTTCTCTGTCTTGAATGTGGAGAGTTTTGTTTGTTTGTTTATTAATTTGAGGCTTCCCTCTTTTTAATAAACTACGAAAAACTGTGAGTAGAACTAAAAGAATTCTAAAAGAAAACAAAACTCAGCCATTCGCATATCGTTACAAGGTCTTGTCATGATTGTTCTGCTTCTTTTTGAGGCGGGTCTTCAGGGCGAACAGGTCTATGTAGAGGATCTGGTTCAGGACAGCAGAGGCGCAGAGCAGGGCGCCATGCAGAGCTCCAGCCATGCCGTTGCAGAACACATCCTGACCTGCAGCCACACAAAACATGTAAGAGCCGGTCAGACAGCAGATACCTGGCTCACATGTGCTTTTTCTTTCTACCGGACTCTATCTATTCCCAGTTTGACTCCCAGGAAACATATTCCAGGACATTACAACTTGTCTTATGCTCTTTTGAACCATATACACTTTTTTTTATATTGTCTGTTATATCTTTTATCTTCAATGGCATCCTGCTCTAACTCTGCCTTTTGTACTCTACATAAGCTATTGGAACCAGAATTTCCCAGAAGGATTAATCCCAAGGGATAAATAAAGTTGAGTCTAAATCTAAGTCTAAGTCTAAGTCTAAAAGCTCCCCGGTCCTCTTTCTGTGTGGATGTTCATATTTGACAATATTTGACAAGATTGAAATGCATTAGTACTAGTTATAATGGACTCATTTGGTCAACTTTTGTAGATTTAATTTAGTCAAATCCTTGCATTTTTTGTTTTATTTGCTGGTGTTGTGGTGTTGAGATTGGCTTATTTTGTTGATTTTGTTTAGTCATTAGCTAGTTAGTTGATTCTAAAGCTAACTGTGTTTAGTATTTTTGTTAGAATTGTGTAGATGTTCCCCTCCCCCCTGCCCATGTCCTCAGTGTGTCATTCTGGTCTGATCAGCCAGTATTTAAGGCCTCTTTGTTCAGTTTGTGTTTGTTCAGTTATTTTAAGCTTTTGTTAGGTTACACGTGAATTTTTTGCCTTGACTCAGATTATTCATTTGACTTATTTTAAGGGCCCTGTATTTATTGTTTGAATTTGGTTAATTTGGGGAAATAAAACCCGTTTTTCCTGAAAAGCATCTCTGTGTCCTCATGCTATGTGAAGGCTCAGTCCTTCACATGGATAGAAAATGTACAAATGCCAGATAAACATTGTGGTCAATGTGAGGTCAACGGCTGAGGTTTCAACCAAGGGAAAAAAAGTTTTGCATTATTGAGTAATTTAGAAATAAAAGAAGATAATACTAGACCAATTCATAATGTGACAAGTGATGTCAGATTGAAGCAGATTCAGCTCTTTTTGCTGCCTGAAACCTGTTTTTCTCAGCCAAAGTGAAAATCATGAAACCTTCTCTACTCCTTGCTCATCATCTAGGCCAGGAAGGCTCCGGGAACCCTGAAGCATTTCTAATTATTTGGTTAGAAGCCTGCATTGTTCACTTTGTATCGTCCTGCTCTATTTATTATCTATGTACTTGGGTCAGTTTTTTTGTGTCATTCAACTTGTGGTTGACCACTCTGTTCTGTGTGCTCTCAGTTCATAACCAGTTTAGGCAGGGGGCCACCGTCTCCAGCCTGATTCTGCTGGAGGTTACTTCCTGTTATAAGGGAGTTTTTCTCGTCCTTTACCAACCCAGGCAGGGAACGAAGCATAACGAACACTATTCCTTATTGACTTCATATGAAAGTGACTTTAATTGTACTGTCTCCTCAAAATGAATTAGATAATATTTTATTATTTGACTATATAGAAATCAAAACCGTTTTAAACTGAAATATTTAAACTTGAAAATATATGAGTGCACACAAACACACTGGACCATACTGGGGGAATAATATTTCCCGGTTTGGTTATTCCTTTTCGTATGCTTATTCCTTTTCGTATGCTTTTTAGCTTTTTAGCTTGAAAACTTATATATATACAGTATATATATATATATATATACAGTATATGTATATATATTAATATAGCAAGAAATATTTCATAACCAAGTCTCAGGTCACCTGTTAAATAGAGCCCATCGATTGGTGTCTGGGGTCGTGTTTTGGCCACTGTTTCAGGGATGAATCGCTCCAAGTTGTGCTCGGCGCCGTACATCTCACCTCTCGGAGCTCCCAGGTAGTGGACATTAGTTAGAGGGGTTGCAGCATCCACCATCACCACCTAAACCACAGATCCACAAAATGTCTGTTTCGTATTTGCCTGCTCAAAAAGAATCTGGTTGAACAGCATCCGCTGGCCACAATATAAAAAACAATAGCTTTCTTTATTCTTTACACATATCATCCACATCAACCACAAACATTGATGTGACTTCCTCAAACACTTTCTGTTCTAAGTGTGACGGGCGTGGCACAGGGACCCAAATCCAAACCTTGTCTCGCAGTTGAGGAAAGATGATTAAAGCCCACTCCAGAAGCTCCTGGGCCATGCTGTCCTTCAGGTCCAGGTAGTCCTGCCCTCTCTTGCCGAGTTTTGTGCCGCTCCATTCTTCGAACCACTCATAGCGTGCCATGGTCAGCAGTGTCATGCAAGACTTACCTACAGGGAGTCAGCAGGAAATGGAATGGAGGAGAGATTTCTGATGAAAGTGGATGATAGTTTCTGATGAATACACTGCATTTCAGCTGACAGATGACTGTGTTACCTGGATGCCTGATGCTGGCTGTGGGGTCTTTAGCAGAGGGGAAAGTGATGAACATCATGGGGATGTTCCCCAACACTTGCTCTCTGCTCAGACAACTGTATCGCTCCATTCTTTCAAACACAGACAGAATACGTTAGTTATGAGCACTAGAAACAGCATACAGTAAAATGTAGGCAGGTGGGACTGAGCTAACACCACGGGTGCTTTACACATGGAAACATGCAAAACTTGGGTCGAAAACCATGGGGAAAAAATGTGTTGCTGTGGAAGGCAACAGAGGGGATATTTAAAAAGGCAGAAGAAAAAAACCTACAGAGTATCCAAATCGTTGTCCTTATACATCCAAAAGTTGGTTGAAACAATGTCCAGCTCCTCTTTGGTTCCGTCGAGACCAACAAACACCAAAAAGGAACCCATTCCGTGTCGAACCCCTCCCAAAAGGGACTGGATCTCTATGGACATGCATGAACATAACATGGACACAGCACAGACAGTGCAGGGAATGCAGACTGTAGGGATGGAACATCTGAAACCTGTGTGACCGAGTGTGAAGAAGTTACCTGTTTTTTCCTGTACGTGCTGAGGTAGAAATTTCTGGAAGGTGTTGAAAATGCCAGCATTGGAAATAACAACAGGGGCATGGATCTCAATCTCCCTTTTTCCTTTAAGAACCGTCACACCTGAACACAAATGCAATGCAAACGGGCTTATTCCGAGAGCCACTTTAATTTGAATTCAGAATTGATTCTACACGAATTAATGGGATGCTCTTGATCAATTGGATCACCGGGAGATGTGAGCACCTCTTTAAAATGACCAGTTAAGACCATCCAAACTCCTACTGGTTGTCAGTGGGTCTTGGAGGGTCGTGCTCTCAAACAAGCTCCATATGCATAGCTCAGCAGAACAGGCCATGGGTTTTTTCCTGGATCCGAACTCACCACAAGCCTTCCCCTGGCTGTTGACCAGGATTCGCTGCACCGGGGCCCTGACCAGCACTTCCCCGCCTGCCTGCTGAATGACTGGAATGATGTGAAAGGCAAATTCACTGGCACCCCCCAGAGGGTAGTACGCGCCCCGTTTATAGTGGTGGAGCAGAAGAGCGTTGATGAGGAAGCTGGAGCTTTTGGGAGGAACGCCTGTAGGAAAAGCAGAGGAGGGGTGAGCTGAGGGCTGTGAGCACCAGGCCAGGACTGGCCTGTGGGACGCCGTGCAGCTGGGAGTGAGCAGCACCGTAGAAGAAGTAGGCAGACAGAGCCTGCAAGTCCTTGTTCTCTGTGAGGCTGGACATCATGTCTGAGTGGCTGGTGGTGGCCAGACGAAACACAGCAGACATGCGATGCAGGAGGCCAGTTCGGACCAGAACGGTGACAAGCCAGGAGGGAATGATCTTCAAAGCCGCAATCAAAGGGGTCCTCCGAGACGAAAGCTGCAAGAGAAGACAGTCCGAGGTATTGTTCGACAACTTGACTAACCAAAAGATTTTTTTGAATACAACAATGCCTCTGGGTTGTTTTGCACTAAAGTTTTTCACCACCTTTGTTGTTTTCATTGTAAACAAGTTGGTAGCTAGCTCTGTGCTGGGCTTTACCCTCCTGAGAGGCTGTCCTCCCATGAGGACGCAGCATTTCTGCCTCTTTACCAGGATCCTTCTTTGTTTTTTACCTTTGACCTATTGGCCTCATAGCAGACACTATCAGACACTGCTGTTAGAAATCTAAAGGAAAATTCTTTTAGACACTTTACACCAATCATGTTCTTATTGTGGACTTAAAATGTTGCAAATAAGTGATTTGGACCCCTCAGAACTAAATAAAAATAAATATCTAAACAAACATTTTCAATCTAAAGATAAACCCACTGAGCCTCTATGAAGAAAAACTACCTGAACCAGGACTAAGTCTAGTTATTAAACTGATCAGCTCCTACTGATCCAGAGATCTGGAACAAAGCAGAACCAGATCAAAGCTGGACTCTCAGGAGGATATGCTTGATTAACCACAAAAAATAACTACCAGCGGCAAACAAAACAATTTTTCAAGTGTCAAGATACTTCGGTGTGTATTTCTGTTGGAACAATATTCATCTTACAAAGACACTCAACCACTGTTTTTCTGTATGTTATTCAATATGGATGCACAATGACTTTATCATTTTTTTTACTGTGAAATAATTCAGAAATCAGAAATAAGTGAGGTAAAGTTTAATGTGATCTATTTAGTACTGAATGCCAACACTGGACAACAAAGTGCTGACCAATTATTGACTATTTAAACCTGTTTAGCATAATTTATTTGGATAGATTGTGTGTTATGTAATGTATATATATTTTATTTTTATTTTGAAATGATAGATTATTTGCAGACAAAAATACTTTTTTCACTTTGCACTGTTACAGGCTCCTAACTTGTATTGTGTTTCACACAGTCACATGATGAGTTTCACTCTTACTCTACCTTCATCAGTCTCATGAACTCATCGATGGCTCCCTCCTCTCCTGGGAACTGTTTCTTTAGGGAGGCTGCCATCTCAGTCTTCCCTGCATGAATGTGGTATTCTCTGAGTATGACACAATGCACAGTGGGAAAGGGGAAACAGGTGGAGGGGTTTGGTCAGAATGCTTTAAAAGAGGCGTTTAAATTCCAGATACCCAAAACAAAAAAATAAAAAAAATAAAATGAAGACAAAAATTAGCTTGAGAAACACCAATTATTAGATATTAATGAGGTTACAGGTGTGTGCAGTTCTGAATAGAAGCCCCCTATTTTTCTTTAAAGGAAATTTGCCAAATAAAACAAGAAATAAAGGAAAGTAAAAGAAGAAAAGTTGAAATATTGAATTTGAGGTAAAAAGTCAAAGTCCAAGTCGGCTTTATTGTCAATTCTGTATTACACACTCAGTCAGAATCCACATTTTGTACTCTCCTGCTTCCAGACAACACAGTAACAATGAGAAATAAAAGTAAGTTTTAATATGAGAAAAATTATGAGCATAAGTAAAAACTTAAAAATATATGCTCATGTGCAAATCAAAAACCAAAGGAGGCCTACCGGCGTTGGTCGGGTGGACCCAGAAAGACTGTGTCATAGTGCTGCTCTAACTTTGTGAACTGTAGCTGTCCCTCTGTGATCTGGTCCAGAGCAACTTTTAACAGGCCGTTCTCATGGAGCTGGCCCAGGTAATGGATGCCTGGTAGTGGTGAAAAGAGTTAGATCTTCTTTTACATAGCATTTTTTTAATCGTGTATAAAAATGTATCTATTCTTAATCTCTTCAGTTATAATAATAATACATGTACTTTACAATCAATCAACCAAACAACCAACCGGCTGACAAAGAAATGATCAAAATGGAGCTCCATTTATCAGTATCTGATCTGTCTTGGACAACATGGTGACATTTAAAAATGGCGTAGTAATGAAATGACATTTGTATTTATGAAAGTGCGACCGTCTTTCGAAGCTGTAATCACAGTTTGGGTTCATTATGCACAGAAAGGGAACTCTTAATTTATTCCTTTGTCTTTTCTTTGTCTTTGTGGGCCAGGATGAAATGCTGATGGCAAATTAAATAGACTGACAACACAGTCAGTTACAGTAGTGAATTTTGGACAAAAAGTGTCATATATGAAGTATAAAGCAAAATATAGTTTGACCTTGTTGTTTTAACAGATCTTATATCATTTTCTGCTGTTTACATCACAATCAAGCTTCATGGATCTACTAAAAAGTGAAAATTTCTATGGCAACCTACCCACATCGAACTCAAATCCCTTATTCTGGAAGGTGTGTGTGCAGCCTCCAGCCTGGTCATGTTGCTCCAGGACTAAAACCCTCTTCCCCGCTTTGGCCAACAGCGTTGCTGCTGCCAGACCTCCAATGCCACTGCCGATCACCACTGCATCCAGAGCAGGGGGGATTTGGTCCTCACGAAACCCTGTGAACAAGTTGGTCTTTTTCTGTCAGTATCTAAACAAAGGCAGGTCAGAGCCATTGTCAAAAGGTGCTTTTAGCTCTGTGCATAGTTGTTTTAACTAAATGAAACCTTGGAACATCAAATAAATATGTACAGTAGTATATTATATTATAGCATAGCATAGTATAGTATATTATAGTATAGTATATTATAGCACAGCATAGCATAGTATATTATAGCATAGCATTGTATAATATATTATATCATATTATATACTATATGATTAGCATGTAGTATATTATAGCATAACATGTATGCAATGTATATAGTATAGTATATTATAGCATAGCATTGCATAGTACATTATAGCATAGGATATTAAAGCACAGCATAACATAGCATATTATGGCATAGTATAGCTTAGTATAGCATAGCTTAGTATTGTATATCATAGCATAGCATATCATAGTATAGTATTTTATAGCATAGCATATCATACTACACTATAACATAGCATAGTATAGTATAGTACAGCATAGCATAGTATATCATATCATAGCATAGCATACCATAGTATAATATATTTTAGCATAGCATATTATAGTATAGTATAGTATAGTATACCACAGCATAGCAGAGCGTATTATAGCATAACATAGCATAGTATATTAAAGCATTGCATAGTATATTAAAGCATAGCATAGTATATTATAGCATAGAACAGTATATTATTGCATAGCACAGTATATCATAGCATAGCATAGAATAGCATAGTATAATATATAATAAAATAGTTTAGTATAGCATAGCATAGTATAACATAGTATAGAATAGCATATTATTTATTTTCACAGAGGGAAGCAAACTGTTCAATCTGGTCAGTGAGGCTTGTTGCTGAAGTTGTGTTCTCCTGGGTTTAGATGACAATGAAGGAATGGGAGAGAAAGGATGTTTGGATCCCTCCACAGCTTGATTTGTAACATTAAACTTTCAATGCATTTCATAAAAACTGTTTTTTTTCCGGTATTCTTCAAGTAAAGGGATGTGTGGCTTTTTATCAAGCAGAGGATTAACAGCTGCATCTCATGTTAAATATACAGTACTAATCTCTTTTATTGTCTCTTCAATCGATATTAAAGTATTCCACCAAATAGTAGTTTCGACAAAGAAATCTTAATCCAGTCTCACATATTTACAAATGTAGAAGCTTTCTTTATCGTTTAATTTAAAAAAAAGTTTTTTTTCTCACAGTTTCCTTGAACACATTGTGATTGATTTAATAGACAAATCTTAAAATAAATCGTATTGTACTGTACTGGTATTTACAAGGTGCGGGTATTGTCAAAAAATACATTCATAGTGAATAGATTTATCCAGATGAGGTAAAAGTATCCCAGATCTTTTACTTTTGGTTCGGTTTTACCTTTCTTCAGCCTGGCGTCCCTCTGCTTTTGGTCCGTGACCAGGGGCCCAGGTGGTCTCAGGCACTTCTCGCTGAACACCTTATAGCGTTTGCCGGTGGTCAGGAAAAAGGTGAAGAGCAAAGCCACCAGCACACAGCACAACCCAGCAAGCAGCCACCACATAGCTGAAAAGAGCGGAGATCGGACCAAGAAGAACACTGATATGTTAGAGGGAAGAGACAGAGGTCAATAGGACTTGTTTGGGTTAAAAAAGAGGCAAGCTCTCCAAAAGAAAAGCACCGGGTTGCAGAGGAGGGAGCTGTAGGATTGTGGAGTAGAGTTTAAGTAAAGGGAGAAATGGTTAATTCAATGAAAAGAAGCATTACAGTTATATGTAACATGTGACAGTTTGAAGATTCCCTCTCAAGAATGATAGGAGTGGGAACCCATTCTCCACGCCGAGCACATGAGACGAGCAGAGAAAAGAGGCCTGGTTGTTTGTAGCCAGATCAGGCCCGTTTGGAGGGGCGCGCACGGCCCAAAAGCCACTCTGTTGCTGGTTAACAACCAGCCTCAGGATGTGAGCTCTGATGGGCTCTCACAAAAATCTCTCTGTGTGGCTGGAATCACGATCTGGTTTCACTGGGTGACTCAACAAAGATGGTTTTAGGGCTTAAAT